CAATGTAGGCTCTGGAACCAGTTGGAGTCATGGGCGAGGAGGAGGATCCAAACGCGGTCCAGCACAGGGGTGAGGGTGAAGGAGGAGAGACATATGTGACAGGCAAGTGGTTGGAAGGCGGTAGATACAGTTGAGGAGGTCCACATAGAGTCCAGGGATTTACTCAGTGAAGTCGAGAGTCTGATGGAACACAGGCGTCAATGCTGAAACACGGAGAGAGCGCAAGGTCGGCAGCACGGTGGATCAGTGGTTACTGTTGCCTCACAGCAAGAAGGTCCTGGGTTCAATCCCCGGTTGGACCTGGGGTTTTTCTGTATGGAGTTTGCATGTTCTTCTCGTGCTCGCGTGGGTTTTCTCCCACAGATCAAAAACATGCACGTTAGGCTGCCTTCAGGCCTCCCTTGCAAAAGAGATCTGTGATCTCAATGAGATTTGCCTGGTTAAATAAAGGTTAATAAATAAATTTAAATTTGAACTATCACAGTTAATCACATGTAGAGGTTAAATAAAGCACAAATACTGGTAGGCATGTAATGCTCCAGCGGAGAGTAGAGCTCTTCTGCAGCCTGATGTACTCCTGGTGCTCATCAGGGTGATGGGTTGCAGGTGTGGTTGATTGGCGCCATCTTGGATCTTCAGAAGCTGCAGAATAACTAAACTCCCACAGACTGCTGCCATCTTAAAGCATCTCAGTGTTGAAAATGTTAAAACAGTTCCTGCTACATTTGTTGCAGAGACTGTAAACTTCACAGTAATTTACTTAGAATTCAGTTGTTTTGCAAGCAGTAGAAACCTGATGACATGTTTTAATATTTCTGCTGTACAGCGGTGTAATGTGAAATACAGTATATAAATGATTGTAAAGTAACTGTTTTATGTAAGACAACAGAAATCCACATGGAGCTTTGCATCACTTGGCCTAGTCCTTAGCTCATCAGTCAGATCAGAATTAAACTTTATTTAGTCTAAACTTAAAATGTTCAAAATGTCATCTACAACAGGTGGCATATTTACTGTCCTTAAGCTTCCCACTTCACAATATTTGAACTATCCTTCTTATGTTACAGTAGTCCCTTGCTATTTCTTGGTTCATTTTTCACGGACTCGCTCTATCATGATTTTTCAAAGTAAGATTGAACACACAATTGGCTAATTGATGGATAAGCCACATGATCGACATGGACTTTTTATTTCAAATAAATAATTTAAAATTATTTAGCACCTGCTGCAGCTGTGTGCAGCCCCAAACTGAGGTAGAAGCTTCCTCCTGCAGTACGTACAGTAGCTATGTTTACATGCGCAAAATTCTTTCACCGGATTGAAATGTTTTCAGATTAAATAATCCAAATGTATTGTTTACATGGGCACAATATGATCATGACAAGCGTTTACATGTAGTTGGTTTTTATTCTGAATAGAAGTACTGACATGCGTAGAGTGGTAAACTCTCCTAAAAACAAACAAACAGAAGAAGTTCTACTTCCGGGATGAACGTAAACAAACCTGAGTGCACAAAACGGACCCGCGACAGGTTTTAATGATGGTGGAGACGTTACTGCACTCCCTGACTGAGCTGCAGGTGATACAGATCATTTTGAGCTCTTTCAAAGTTTCTGGTAGAAATGTTGTCGCTCACTGACCAGTTTTGCTTCCCTGACATGCTAATATTATTAGCATTAGCCAGGCGGAAATACGTGAGGTTGATATACTGTAGGTCTTACATGGGCAGTCAGGTTAGTTTTCCACAATCAGAATAAGATGATCAGATTAAGTGTTTACATGCACACCGTTCGGATTATGAATCAGCATAAACCAC